TGTTCTCCTTGTGGTTCAGTTCTTTGCTTCAAGAACTCCTTTACAATGTGCAGGAAATAAAATGCAGCTGAGAATGATGTAGAAATAATAAAGTTTTAAAATCAAACAACAAAAATAACTTTAATTCATACCCTGGTCCATCACTATGCTCTCCATCTCCAAACGTTAGAGGGTGAGGCATAGACCAGTTACTCTTCAAAGATACACAGCTGGGTCCAGGAGAGTCTGGTCCCTCATGGTGGATCCTGATAGAATCAAAAACATGATGAATGCAAAGGTGCACTGAAACTCTGCTGAACATGAAGCTGACTTTTGAATATGTTAATACTGATAAGATAAATAGTAACTTTGGATCAGTGGTTTCCATCTTGCAGGTTGGCAGGTTCAAACGTCCTATGTAGATTCCTGGTGGATCTGTTGTGGTGTCGTTCCTAAACACAAACACAACAACATGCTCATTACTGCTCCTTCCTCTCTGTCACACACTGTATCTGGGAATGAACAAGAAGGGAGTCTGTGTGAGCTTATACTAAATCAAACACAATGTATTTATCTATGGAGATTTACAATGAAGAGTGTTTATCAGCAATATCAAGAATGAAAGGATAAAAAAGGATAAAAGATATAACCTCATTTGGAACCTAATGAAATAAGAAAACATGCAATACAGTGCAAACATAGAATAAACTGTGGCATGTAAAATATAAATAATAATAGATAAAATATAAGAAACATATATAAAAAGGTAGTGATAATAATAATAAACAATAAAACCCATGCATTTAAAATTCATAAAAGAGTCCAGATGAGGAAGATTTATAAAATAATAGATTGGAAATATGTATAAATAATAAACAATACACAGATAAATACTAAAATATAAATACATAATACATTAATAAATAAATAATTAAATATTTAGAGAGTTTCAAACATGTAATGGCGCACAACAAAAATTACTTATGCTCTAAATTCTTACCTTAGCTCTTCATCTTCAAACGTAATAGGGTGAGGCATAGACCGGTCACTATTCATGGACACACAGCTGGGTCCAGGAGAGTCTGGTCTCTCATGGTGGATCCTGATAGAATCAAAAACATGATAAATGCAAAGGTGCACTGAAACTCTGCTGAAAATGAAGCTGACTTTTGAATATGTTAATACTGATAAGATAAATAATAACTTTGGATCAGTGGTTTCCATCTTGGAGGTTGGCAGGTTCAAAAGTCCTCTGTAGTCGTACCTAAACACAAACACAACAACATGCTCATTACTGCTCCTTCCTCTCTGTCACACACTGGATCTGGGAATGAACAAGAAGGGAGTCTGTGTGAGCTTATACTAAATCAAACACAATGTATTTATCTATGTAGATTTACAATGAAGTGTGTTTATCAGTAATATCAAGAATGAGAGAGGTCAATGGACGAGCGGCATATGTGCTGTGGAGGTTAGGGTTAGGGTTAGGGTTAGGGTTAGGAAATTATCTGCTTTTTATTTTTCCTCTTCATAAGTTCTGCCACTGCAGTTACAAAGTTTGTTAGTTATTAGGTAGGTTAACAAAACCATAGGTTTGTGTCTTAAGGGAGGAGGTGTTACGGCTGCTGTTTCTGTCTGCCCGTTAACCTGTCTGAGATTGTTTGCAGCTGTGTGTAATATGTAAATGAGCTGTGTGGTTGCCCCAATGTCGTTGGCTATCATCTCCTGGTCCTCCTCCGAAGACGCTGATTGGAGCACGCCGGGCCTGACGCTCTCCAATCCCCGTGCAATCCCAGAGCACACCTTCCGGAGATTACTACAAAGCCTGGGGACAATTATCACTCGGGAGGCTCTGCTGCGATCAGACGCCTCACACATTTTGCTCCTGTGTCGTGGACTCTTCAGTCTTGAGCTATAGACTGTGTTTGACTATTGTGATCCGTGTTTAGTGTTGTGTGTTTAGTGTGTTTATATGTGTGCTTAGAGTAGCGTGTTGATTTATGTGTTTAGAGTAGCGTGTGTTTAGTTTATCTAGTTAGCTGCGTTTTCCTGCAGCCTCCTTCCAATAAAGTGAATTAGAAGAGATCTCAGGTGTGTTAATTAGGCTCATTTTTAAGAGTCCTCCTGTTACCAGCAGTAGAACTGCGCCCTTTTGGCTTCTTTGTTTGGCTTAGGCTTCTTTTGACCTCATTTTGTTGTGCACCTTTGTTGTTGCTCATTAAATCCTATTATAATTACTTACCAAATCCATCTGGTGTATGTTATCTTACTCATCCCTAGTGGGTTCGTAATACATGCAATTGGGACATACAACTTCTTCATAGCATCAGTGGCGGTTCAACTACCCCAGTTGGCAGCTTTGTTTTGAAAGAAAAGTTGTGGCTCATCGGACATTTATAAGAGAAAATCTCTAATGTCCGAGTGCAAGTGAATGCATCACAAGACGCGAGCCTTGTAACCCCTCCCCCAGCCTTGGCGCGAGTGTGGAAATATGATTGGCAGCGATTTCATTTGAACGGGGGGACGGCGCAAAACGAGAAGCATTCGGATCCAAGTAGACGGAAGGAATGAGGTATTTGCGGTCTACAATGACAGAGAAGAGACTGTCAAGTTTGGCTGTACTCAGCATTGAATCAAAACGCACTGAAGCTTTAAATCTTAATAAGTTTGTGAGCTTGCTGAACAAGATGGTAATCGCCACATTCAGCTGTAATAGACATGTCAACTTGATGCTCTGCTCACGGATGACTCGATGAGCATAAAAAACTGTTAAGATGATGACCTTACGTGTGTAAATATATTTTTTTCTTTGTGGGGCTCTGCCCCCAAAAAACTGTTTCAAGTCCTGAGAAAGTCAAATAAGACGGTGTGTAAAACTACACTGCCCAGCCAAAAAAAAGTAACCACTTTGATTTAACTAGGCCAGTAGGTAAGGGCATTCCACTGGATAATAAATGCAGCGATGTGTTTGAGCTGAATACACGTTTTTTCACCCTAGAAGACCCTATACACTCAGTGACTGTGGAGAGATCACAAAGGATGTTTTATAACCTGCCTGGTATGTGTACAATTCAAAGATAAAGAAATATGTGTCTGACATCAGTTTGAAGCTCTGCTGTGTTCTCCTTGTGTCGGTTATTTGCTTCAAAAATTCCATTACAATGTACAAGAAATCAAATGCAGCTGAGAATGATGTAGAAATTCATAAGTAAAAGCGAACAACAACTTTGAATAACTTTAATTCACCTTGGTCCATCACTGACACGAAGGACTCACAGGAACTAAGATGCACAATTCGGTTTTGACTTCAAAATTATCTTTTATTATACAAAAGACTTTTCAAAGTAAAAGATTACTAGGATCAACTAGGATACTCAAAGGTTCTCTAGGTTTGACTAGGCTGCTCAATAGTTCACGAGGGAATACAGACATGGACTTGGTGTTTAGACAAGACGAACCGACAAAAGACAAAAGGAGAGAAGGGCTATATATACACACAATAGGTAATGAGGCACAGGTGAAAAACAATTAGGAGCAGGAGACCACAATCAAGCTGGCAGGTGACACACAAAGACAGGAAGTGTAGACACCTGAAAAGAGAGGGTAGAGTCAATACCAAAATAAAATGCAAGGTCACAAAAATAAACACAAAACAATAAACTAAAAGAACTCTAACACTGAAACCTTACAGTCAACCGATAAGACAATGCCGGGTACCGGGTACCCATACAAAATACACAATTTCGGTTCTGCTTAACGGTTCCTAAACGCGGTAGACCCTGTATTCCACCGGGTCCGTCTGCGCCGCAGCGCCACGGTGACCCGGTGGAATACAGTCAGGGCGGACTGGCCATCTGTGTGTTCTGGAGAATCACAGAACGGCCGGTCGTCAGCGGGCCGTTGACGGCCGGCACCGCCCTTAATTTTTTTAAACGGCATCATGTAAGTTGCGGCAACAGAGGTCCACAGTTGCCCCGCAGCGAGGCTCCCCCCGCCCTCCCGTAAACAGTTCACAAGCTCAGTCACTTCATAACACCAAAGATGGGTCGCGGTAAACGCTCTAAAGTGAGGCTCCACTACACTAATACAGAAAAAGACAAGGCACAGTGTAATGCCTGTTGATAGCTTGCCACAGGCTTAGCTCAGTTAACATAAAGCACAGCTATTGTGCAATACATTTGTATTGCATGTATATTTTTTATTTGTAAAAATGTCAGTTAAAGCTTAAAAGAATAAAGATATTTTTGTTATCTAAACGTTTGACCTCTTTATTTTACAATTTTGGAATCGAAACGGGGAATCGATAAGAACCGGAATCGATAAGAACCGGAATAGATAAGAACCGGAATAGATAAGAACCGGAATAGATAAGAACCGGAATCGATAAGCAGAACCGGAATCGGAATCGGAATCGATACATTTCAAACAATACCCATCCCTAGTCCTCACCTCTTCTAGGGGAGTCCGGGGGCATGCTCCCCCGGGATTTTTTTTTTTTTTTTTATAATATTGAAGTGAAAAGCATCAATCTGGTGCACTTTGAGAGCAACATTAAGAGATCTATGGATACATCTCTCAACACCCATATGAAACAGAACTGTAAACAGATTTTTTTTCTCATACTGATATTCTGCACAAACTGTGCTGTTGTATTTTCTGTAAAGTGTCCTTACTGTAAGGTAATTATTATTTGTACAGCACTTTGGCTCGACCAAAAATCGTTTTAAAAATGTGCTATATAAATAAAACTTGATTTGATTTGATTTGATTTTCTTTTTCTTTATGGATATTTTACTAATCACTCCCCTTTCAAACTTTATTCTTTTTTTACTGTCATATAGTATTTCATAACTGTTTTTCTTATAACTATAATGATCATATAAACGTGTGCCGCGGAAATACTTGTTTACATTAATCCTGACCAAACCGTTTGAGACCCACTGAGATAACTTAGACTAAAGTGAACTATCTAAACACTCAGAGAGTCCTTTAGCTCACTGAGTCTCTCAGTCTGAGAGGAGAGGACTCTCCTCCACCTTGTTGTTGGAAAAGCTCCTTATAATCGTTAACAGAGCTAGCTAACCAGATGCTAATAACAACAATCCCCGGGACCGCTCTCTCTCTCTCGCTCGCTCACACAATGCGCTCGTGCCACACACAGAGCCGAGCTTGAATGACACACAAAGACCCAGAGGTAGTAGTACTGTAATATAGCATATTATTTTACATATGATTGTGTTTCTATTAGGATCCACCATGAGAGACCAGACCCTCCTGAACCCAGCTGTGTTTCCATGAGGAGTGAACAGTCTATGCTTCAACGTATAAAGCAGTGGTGGGGAACCACCGGCCTCCTATACGCGGACCAGTACGGTCCTCGAAACCATTTGATGCGGCCCTGGAGGTAATTTATAAACACAAAAGCAAAATAATTAAACAAGTGAGTGCCTGTGTCTTTAGTTGAAAGCCCAGTGGCGATCTGTTCATCTGTCATACTGATCATACAATAACGCCACTGATGAATGTTGAAAAGATAAAACGTTGTTGATAACTATGTTGAATTTCAAGCGTTTTAATAGAGAGAAAGATAAATGACTTTTGCTTTAATTTTTACTCTGGACTTGCACTAGCATTATGCTCTCCATCTTTAAACCAAATAGGTCGAGGCATAGAGGGGTCACTCTTCATAGATACACAACGGGGTTCAGGTGAGTATGGTCTCTCATGGTGGATGCTGATAAAAACACAGTCACTGATACATGCAAAGGTGCACTGAAACTCTGCTGAACATGAAGCTGACTTTTGAATATTTTAATACTGATAAGATAAATAATAACTTTGGATCAGTGGTTTCCATCTTGCAGGTTGGCAGGTTCAAAGGTCCTCTGTAGATTCCTGGTGGATCTGTTGTGGTGTCGAACCTAAACACAAACACAACAATATGCTCATTACTGCTCCTTCCTCTCTGTCACACACTGGATCTGGGAATGAACAAGAAGGGAGTCTGTGTGAGCTTATACTAAATCAAACACAATGTATTTATCTATGGAGATTTACAATGAAGAGTGTTTATCAGCAATATCAAGAATGAGAGAAGTTAATGGACGAGCGGCAAATCTGCTGTGAAGGTTAGGGTTAGGGTTAGGAAATTATATACTTTTACTTTTTCCTCTTCATAAGTGTGTTCTCTTGCATGCAATATACATTCAATTGGGACATACTACCCACTTGTTTATCCACTGCAAAGGATTGTGGGTCAGAATAGCCAGAAAAGCATGCTGGTTTACAAACTACAAAATGCAACCAGCTGCAGTAGAACATCCTGGTATTCTGGGGTCCTGGACAGGATGCAGGGACCCCAACACGTGCTGCACAGCCCCCAGGTTCACCCAGAAAAACTCTATGTTGAACATATAGGTGTTAGGTTGTCACAATGTGTTAAAGTACACCCACAACGAACTGACTTGGATAGGAGAGGATTTCAGACACAAAGTGGAGCGTCTCTGTATGCAGTATCATTAAAGACATGAAGACCCTAAACACAGTGAATGTGAAGAGACCACAAAGGATGTTTTATCACATCTGCTATGTTTACTCTTCAATGTTCTTTTTTAAAAACATGTCAGTCACGTTGATCAGAGCTGTTGGACCGGATCAGTCACTGCCTGCATGTCTCACTGCTGATGATATCTCAGATTACAATCAAACTGCTGCCAAAAGCTGCTGGCACCATTACAAGGAAGTCTTTCTAAAATCATTCTTTAACTCCGAGGGACATTCTCCACAATACTATAGAATAGATTTATAGAATCAGCATCAGGAAACATTAGACCTGTCCATTTAAACGGTGATACAGAACAAGTGATCCTGATCAAACATTTACAGATTTCTCTGGTAGGATTCTCACCTGATGAACTGAGTTTTAGGAAACAAAGCTAGTTTTTAGGTCAGGTTAGGAATCAACTTGGTAATATGTTTTCATTTAATTTCAAACCTTTATTAATCCCATTGAGATCATTTATCTCTTTTTCAAGGGAGACCTGCTCAAGCTCATTTATCCCCTAATGTATAACCCCTAATAAAAAAGGCATTTAAATCATATTATCCCCTGCTGAAATCCCTTCAGGTAAACTTAGACACCTTTATGTGAGGAGGAAACTCTGCTCATTTCGTCCTCATCAGTCGGAAACCCAGTCAGTGAGAGGTGATGTAGTTATACTAGCTGTCCACTAGGTGGTGGTAACAGACCCATTAACTCAAGATCAGTGTGGAATTCAATTACCTGGAAACCATCAACAAAAATGTACTTTTGACAGAACCAACTGTTGTGTCAGCCCGCCTTTACAGCGTTTAGGCCAAATAGTTGTACTTGAACACAGCGTAGAGGCTTCAGACAACAAACAGGTATCATGTACATACAGCATGATAATAATTGTTTTTGTTACAGGGCCAAGCTAAATATTGGATTCTTATTGGTCGGTCTGTTATTTCTGACTTGGACAGGTACAGAAAACCTGGATCAGTGCTTCCATCATTTTAAGTTACGTTTGCTTGCTTCAGTTCAGACGCTGATACTAGAACAGAAGACAGACCCCTCCATATAGATAGTTAATGGTATTACAGACATCCAGTCAGCAAACTCAATGCTCCATCAAACAGTTTCCTATTCAAAGTCCAGCTGATATGAGACTCCACTGGAGCATCTCTGAATGCAGTATCATTAAAGACAAGACATGAAGGCCCTATAGTGAATGTGAAGAGACCTCAAAGGTGTTATACCACGTCTGCTATGTTTCAATGTTAACATTTTTGTCAGTCATGTTGATCTGAGTTTTAAGACCGCATGAGACACTCCCTACATTTTTCACTGAAGATGAATGTGAACTCAGATTACAATCAAACTGCTGCCAAGAACTGTCACCATAACAAGGAAGTCTTTCTAAAAACATTTGTCTTTAATTCTGAGACGAATTCTCTACGATACTTTGGAATAGATTTATAGAATCAGCACCAAGAAACATTTGTTATATCTCTCACAGGCTCCGTCCTCTACTGGACTATATGGGTACTTCCCCTCGATCCTATCATGCAAGCATTCATCACTGAGACTTTCTAGATCTAGCCGGCCCCGGGGCGGGCCTACCTGAATGCCTCTGTGGTCCGTCCCAAGGTACCGGCCCTCACGAGGACAGAACCTGGCGGGCTCCCGCTCCACCGCAGCGAAGGGGTGCGGGATGGGGAGCTCCGTCCTCCAGGAGTTGACTGGCGGCGGGAGGAAGCGTCCCGGCGGAGAGAGGTGATTTCTCCGGCCAGTACGCAAGGGGGAATCCCGCCTCCTCCCTGTTTGACCCCTTGGTATCAAAGTCTTCTTTTCTAAATAAAAAAGATAACTTGTATTCCAGTCTGAGTGTATTTTCTTTCCACACATCCACACAGCCACGTAATGTTGACCGTACAGTTTCCCCACTCGCTGCCCAGGTTGTAACTCCAGTAAAGGAGGCAGCTAGTGCGCATGCGTGGGTGAGAGTAACAAACCTCGCTATGCGGGTACAGGGACATTATGGCCGGCGTAGCAGGGTTAGGAAACATTTAACGCCGAGTGTAAAAAGCTCCGCTTGATGCATTTCACTGTTTGGGTGAAAGCATCATGGCGGAGCACGCGCTCCCACGAGAGCGCGCCGCGGCGCGTTCAAGGACCTCAGTAGAGAGTCGGCCCTTTCTGTTTCGACCCCCCATTGGCGGGGAGTTTTGCGGCGGGACGGGTCACCAGAGAGTACCACAGCTTTATCGCTGGGGCCCAACAGCTGATTGCACATCCCCTAATCTCTCCACGGTTACGGGCGAGGGAGAGGTGAGTGAGGCGCAGCGGCTGCTAACCAGAATGCCGGTCAGAAACAGTGAGATGGAACAGTGTTGTTGTGGGACGACAGCGCGTATATACATCGGGGCTCCGCCCACTGTACCCATAGAGTCCAGTAGAGGGCGGAGCCTGTGAGAGATATAACGAGGGGTTACGTATGGTAACCCTTGTTATGTAAACACAGGCTGAGCCCTCTTCTCAGGGGCCCTGTATGTCCTATGCTGCTTGCTGAAGAGAGGTAAAGGATGACAGTAAGGAGGCGAGACCTCCTTTTATGCGGTGAGATGCGTGCGCATTCAGGTAGGCACGCCCCGGGCCGGGTACGTCTAGAAAGTCTCAGTGGATGAATGCTTGCATGATAGGATCGAGGGAAATACCCATAGAGTCCAGTAGAGGGCTCCGCCTGTGTTTATATAACAAGGGTCACCACCCCTCGTTCTGACCAGTTACGCAGCCTACACACGGCGGCGTGCGTTGCCGCTTGGCGGTGGGCGTGTCTTGAGCTTGGGGAGTTTACGCGAGCAACGCGACCAACAACCAATCACATGAATCTCCCGTGTCTCTCCCCAAGGGCTGGAAAATTGAAGAAGTGACCAGAAAGTCGGGTTTGTCAGCTGGAAAAAGCGATGTCTATTATTTTAGGTACTAAACGAACGGGGGCTTGCAAAACTTTTAGCTGCTGCAGGACACAAGAGTTTGCGGAAACAAGACAGGAGTTGATAATTGGAAGGGGGGGTCTGTGTAAAGTTTGTGATGGGAAGGGGGGGGGGTTTCTGTTTGCAGCGGGGTAAAAAAGGCTTTAAAAAGGCTCCCGTGTATGAATCTCACCATAGACATTAATATCTAAAAAGCGATTTTTAATTAATGTCTATGGTGCTATTTTATGCAACATTGCATGGTGGCTAAATATACTGTCTTTGCCTGCTGTCCATTCAAACGAAGTACACTGGATATAAACTCCCCAAACAGGCGAAAACCTACCAGTTTCACCCACTGTCTCTGCCACCTCCCTCCATGCCTGGCTCCTCCGGTTTGTATCCCGGTAGGTGAACAGAGACTGAAAGCACCGGGTGATTCCCTACCGCTACGATTATTTTCTCCTCCATTTTTTGGCATATGAGGAAATGAATTGCGGTCTGGCTCTCCCAGCATACACGCGGTTTGTACTGGCAGATTTGCATACGCAGGATTTGATTGGCTGACGCCTCCGCCTCAGCTTCAAAAGTAGAACATTGCTCTACTTTTGCAACGAGCACTGCGAGAAAATCTACGCTTTGCTCCCAGAATGCAGTTCGGTGAATCGTGACGTCACCCCATTCAAAGTGAATGGGCAGAAGTGTTGAAGCATCAACGCACGCCGCCGTGTGTAGGGGCCGTTAAACAGTGATACAGCACGATGTGATCAGAGTGATCCTGATGATGAACATTTACAGATTCCTCTATTAGGATTCTCTCCTGATGAACTGAGTTTCAGGAAACAAAGTTCCATGGTAAGGCAGGGTAACGTCTTGATTATATGTATCCCCAAATGTATAATCCCAGAT